TTTATCTTTGAATGCTCCAAGCATTCCAAGTGCAGTGTTAATACATAAATAATATGGAATAAGCAAATTTTTATTAGCTGAATTTTACCAAACTAGATTCTGTCAATTACAATAATTTATTTAGGTCATTCTAACGAGTTCATAGAACTAAATAAGGTCACTAGACATGAATATAACACTTTTATTTTCACATATAAATACTGCATTTCCTCACAAAACCTCCCAAACTGCCAATGAGACAAGATCAATATTTGTACTGCTCAATTATCATCAGGATGCTGCCACACAGAAATTGCTCAGGTGACCTTTTCTGCCTGAACATTTCTGTGTGCACTCATCAAAACTGCCTTCCTTGGATATCACTGAATAAAAAAGGAATCGTTCCAGATCTCAGACCTGCTCTGTCTCACAGGGAACATGGAAATATATTGGGATTGAACAGTGCAGCGTGAATGGGGATACAGTCAAAACTAGAGAGTTACTGAGATAGAAAAATGGCACAATAATAAATACAGTGCAAGGGATGCTTCCCAACTCTGGTTAAGCAGAATAATAATTTAAATTAAATGTTAAAATAACAATAATTTTCTTAGAAATCTTGCCTTTCCTAGAATATGGTAAATAAGAATTTAATTTTTCCAGCAATCACTTACATAGCACAAGATTCTTCCTCCTTTTAAGGGACACAAAACATAAAGGCTTAAAAACTGTCACAATGACTAGAAATTCAATATTGAAACACATCATTACTCTGAAATGATAGAAATATCTCAATTTGTTCAGAAATATCTCAATTTGAGATAGGAGAAGTGGAAACTTCAGCCAAAGAGCTGCAAAATTTTTGTATCATTAAGTTACACAAAGCCCAGAAAATTGTAATTGAAGTGATGATTTCCTTGGTGTAGGAATAAAGGAGAAATCCCCCCATGGCAGCCAGGGGAAAGAATTCCCATTCAAGGCAAACTCCAGCAGTGCCACTGCTCCCAGCCCCCAGCCCCAGGGAGTTTATTGGCTCTGCTGATGTGAAAGAATTTGATTTTCTGCATTTTCTGCTGTGTTTTGGTCAAGTTCTGCTGCCTGCTCCATGATGAATTCCCTCTCCTGCAGCAGGATCAAAAGCATCTGGAGAGGTGGAAGTGCAGCAAAGCTCCCTGGGCAGGGCACTCTGCACTTCAGAGCTGCCCATTCTCAACATTTCTCTTTCTTTTCAGCTCCCCAAGGGAAGAACAGTAAATTATGACTTGAACTAAACAAGTCACACTTGGCTCCAAAATCAGATTTTCCTACCTCTACTTTCAGGTCCCAGAGGTAGGCAGAGGAAATCCTGGTCACAGCCAAAGAAGTCATTTTTGGCTCTGAAATAAATTTTCCTGCTTTACTGGAGCCAAACTCTACCATTGAGAGCACCAGAGCTTTGAGCAATCCTTGAACATTTTCTTTTATATTATTTTGCTTTAGCAACCTGATTCTTCAGCAATATGAAACCCCTTGCAGTAACACAGAATTAGGGCTTGGCCTCTTGCTTCAAGCAGTTTTGTTTATAATCAGGTCTGAGCCTGAATCATTTCTTTCTCCCTAACCCTGACAAAGTGTTTTAGACTCTTCTCTTTGTCAAAAGCAGTGAACCTAAGATAGAATATGCCTAAAAATGTTGAAGTGAAACTAAATTATTATCTTTAAAGCCTCCATAGAAATTACTGTAACTTATAAAAGCACACAGTTACTTAGGGAATTCCAGTGTTTGCCATTTAATACCAGGATTTGTGGTATATACTCAGCACAAACATATGGAGAAACTAAAATTGGATATTATTCATCACACTTGACAATGAGTCTCTTGCCCAAGATTGATGTCTGGACCCAAAATGCTGCACTTCAAAATATCTAAGAGAAGTTAATTAACAGTATGTTAGCATCAGATAACACATCTGTGGGATTATCCATCTCTTGCTGTCACATTATTTATGTTCCTTAATATTACAGCTCAATCAAGTTACAAATCATAAAACATATTTAGAAAGCAGGTTGATCACAGACAAGTCATATTAGTGGAGATGAGCCAACATCAAAGTGCCAAGATGAATTATTGCTCTCCAAGGGTGCAGCCCCACAAACCCTGCTGCCTGTGCTCAGGGCTGGGAGCACTAAAGGGATCACTCACCAAGAAAAAGCTCTGTAAGGAGTAAGGGGTTATGGAATTGAGGCTTAAGGGGAATTTTATTAACCCAAAATGCAGACATTCAAGTGTTTTTTCATGTAGAAGCCCAGCACTTTTTAGTGATTTAAACCAATCCCAGGAGCATACAATTCATGGCTGTTCCAAGGGAATTGGTAATCACTTGCATTTCCTATTTTTAAAGGAATGTCATTATCAATCATCTTATCAGTTTCCTCCTCTGATACCTCTGCTGGGCACCCACTGCTGTGGGAGAGCCACAGATTCTCCATTTTCTGTCCAATCCAACCTGGCCTGTGCCACTCTGGTTGGAATTTTATGGCTGCTGGAAACTCAAGGTCCTCCCCAGAAGTTGCAGGCTTTGCCCAGTTTTCTGCTTCACCCACAAAATAATCCAAAGAAACACCAATCAAATGTGTGCAAATATTCTCTAAATTTTACTGTTGCATTTGGGAATTTCCATTCCTTTCCTAAGCTGAAAAACATGTTTAATCTTCCAAATTTCTTTTTTATTTCACAAAAACACCAATAAGTAGCCACCTCTTCAAAGTGACTTCCTTCACTTTATCCTTCTTGCAACTCAGCTGGTAAAAAAAATGAGCATTAATCCAGAATTGTTGTGGATCTGATAACCCTAAAGCTTCAGCAAAACAAACCCTGTTCAATATAAAGCCATTTAAAACAAAAGCCATTTTCTCCAGCATCCTGAAGCAGCTCTGCCATGCAGATCTCATGCTGAGACTGGAGCCTGCCCTGCTCTCATCCAGAATTGATCACTGCAGAGCTTTGGGCATTCCCATCTCTAGACACACACTCAGACCTTGAGCTGGTTGCAATTTGGCAGCCACTGTTTCCAGCCCTACTGAAAAATTTACAGGTTTTCTTCAGTCCAATTTAAAAAAATAGTTCAACAGAACACTGATTTTTAAAATATAGTTATCAGAACTGGGCTGTAGTGCTGTGATCCTGTTATTTGAAATTTTTGGTTGACCTCAAGGTAAAATCAAACCATAATCCACTGTGAAGATAATTCACCCACAACATATTTTATTCAACCTAATTTTGTATCATTTAGAACCCAAACCCATTGATTTTCAGGAAATCATTTGGCATTAATTACAAAGTTCCAGCCATACAACAAAGGATTTCCTAAATACCTTGTCAGCACATGCCCCTAAAACCAGAATTTCCAACTGCAGAGACAGAGTGAGCACTCTTTAATGGGAATTCTTACACTACAGTGGAGTGCATTATACGGCAGCAGGACAAAGAATGTTGTGGCTGAGTGAGAGCTCCAAGGAATTCTGCACACACTGGAGGAACTGCACTCAGCCTCCCTGGCCCTTGTAGGATGTGGTTTTTCCCAGCAAGGCTGGAATGAGGCACATGCTCAGACAACAAAGAAGCCTTTGCTTGTCCACTTAAGCTCAGAACACATCTCTCAAACCAAAGCTGAGTCTGTTTGGCCTTTCAAGTGCAAACCTATGATTTTCTTGTTTGATTTGGCATTAGGGAGAACCAGAATCCAGCTGCTGCTGGTATTTATTTATTCTGTGATCCTTCACTTTGTTTCTTGGCCCCACAGAGCAGTCCCAAAGAGGAGCACACAGGACAGGGCAGTGACAGTGACTGGCAGCACTCAGTGCCACAGACCCCTAGAAAGAATTGTGTTACCCAATAATAAACCTTTTTTCAATAAGCAGAAAGCCTAGAAAAATACTTTTCTATATTTATTGGCTTTCTTTTCCTTACAGCTCTGCAGTGCCTGCTCTAATGGAACATCATCCCTGTCAGACAAGTCAGAAGGAAGGAAGTGTTGAGGTGGGCAATTACACAGCAGTGCAACAGGATGCTGCTTTCACCACCTCCTGAAAAACACAAATACTTTCAGATTTATTTAACTGCAGCCACTTCCAAATGCTATTTTTACAAGGGGCTTACAAGTTTTTGCCTAAAGTTACACGAAGCTTGAATATTCCAAATAGTGCTGTCCTCAGTATCCAGGAAGAGTTTATGTTGTGTCATAAATTCATGCTCAAAACTGCAAGCTAATAAAGCAGCACAAGCTTGGAAAAAGTTTCCAATTCCATTCAGTGCTGAAGTGGGAGAAATAATTACATTGAAGAAGGCAATGGGATGAGAAAGGTGAGACAGTGCAAGCAGTGAGGCATACACAGTTATACTGTAAAATAATAACATAATTAAACAATCCTTATCTTTCCACCTGTTTTCTGCAATAACCTGCCTTATTTAAAACAGTATTAAAAAGTTTGTATTAAAAGTTTTTATTTTCTGCAATAACCTGCATTATTTAAAGCAGTGCTCCACCTCTTACCTGTGCAAGGTCACTCAAAGAAGTCAAATGGGATGGAGAGAAGTTCAAAGGTAAACAGAGAGAAAAGATATTTTGTGCCTATTTAGTGTTTTGAAGATGACATAAAAAACTATTTTAGTGGGTTTTTTTATTTTAGTTAACTAAATATTTAGTGTTTTGAAGATGACAAAAATCTGGTTTGTGCATATTTAGTGTTTAGAAGATGACATAAAAATCTGGTTTGTGCATGTTTAGTGTTTAGAAGATGACACAAAAATCTGTTTTGTACATGTTTAGTTTTGAAGATGACAAAAAACTATTTTGTGCATATTTAGTGTTTTGAAGATGAGATAAAAATCTATTTTGTGGCTATTTAGTGTTTGGAAGATGACATAAAAATCTGTTTTGTGTATGTTTAGTGTTTTGAAGATGACATAGAAATCTGTTTTGTGCATGTTTAGTGTTTAGAAGATGCCATAAAGCCAGGCCAGGCCTGAAGCCATGTCCTACCTGCAGGTCCCTGACGTTTGGGAAGGGGATCCCGATGGTCACCACGGCCCTGGCGTTCTCATCACAGAAATCCAGCCCCTCACTGACCTTCCCTCTGCACACAGCAATCAGCAGAGCCCCATCTGCAAGAGCACAGCAACACTCAGCATGCCAAGGAGCAGCTGGGATCACAGAAACTTGCACCAAAACCTTCAAAGAACTAAATATAATATAATATAATATAATATAATATAATATAATATAATATAATATAATATAATATACTGGTGGAATGGGTGAGTGGCTGTAAAAACAGGGACTCAGCAGAGGGATGGGACTGACTCCACTTTGATCAATAACATTCTGATTTTGACCATCAAATAGCAAAATAATTTTAGATTTTATAAAACGGGTAATTAATTATGCAAGAACAATGCGTATCTATAACAAAATGTTAAGCCTTGAATTTTACTTTAAGAGTCTGCATCAACTCTTTTGAATGGTGAAAAATGTACCTTTTTCTCCTTTACACCTGATTGCATCATAGTAGATTTTCAGCAGCTCATCAAAGTCACTCTTGGCCCCTCCCTGGGGCTCTGCAATGACAGTTTTAACATCCTCCAGGTTCCTCCACAAGCCTGTGTGCATCCAGCGGTCCTTTAACTTGTCCAGCATCTGAAAACCAACAGAAAAATCCATGAATTGCTCAAATAAAGCCACAAAGACATTTCTTTCAGTGAAGTTTCATTATTCAGTTTTGTATTTGTAAATGCAAGTTTTCCTACCATGCACAGAACCTCAGCTGGGCAGCACTTGGGAAATGGAGGGGCACTTATTTTGCTAATTAGAAATAATGCAGATTCTTGAGTTGCCAAAGCAAAACTCTAAATCTATGAGAGTGGCCATTAAAGAGCATTTTGTGCTATTCCTCAAAGTAATGTCATCCAAAAAAATGGAAGTTACCTGATTTTTCGATTACTAAGTAAGATTAGAAAAAAATTTCAAATTCATTTGAAACAAGCCTTTATATCTTAAACTTCCAGAACTTTTCAATATTTGAAAATTTACATAGAGAAGTTGGGGGGGAGAATATTGATGTAGGATTTATCAGCCTCCTCAGGTTCTTGGACAGCCCCTCAGCTTTACTACACCTCCCAAACTCTGAACTGTGCACATTTCACTCCAAGTCAGAACATGTTCAAATAAACTTGTCCTGCTTTTAATGCAAATTCTGAAAATGCTGCATTACAGAAATCAGAGTTTAAAATTAGCACAGAACCTGAAGTCAGCTGGGTGGGGGTGATTTAGCAAATGCATCAACTTCTACATTGAATTAAGTCAGGGAGCCAAAAATTCCCTCCTTGAGCTGCACAGAGCTGCCCTTGAGAGAGGGGCAAGGCAAGGAACACACCCAGGGTGCACCAAGGAGCTCTGGGTCAGTGGGCAGAATTCAATCCTTTAGTTAGAATTCAATCCTTTATTTCACCCTCCTGCTGCTCAGTATTTTCAGTGTGTTACTGACTCTGTGCAGCTCCTAGATGAGATTTAAACTCTCAGGTTCTGCAGGAAGGGCTGTGCTCTGTGTCTGCACTCCCCTCCTGAAGACTTTTCCACATTTTGCTCCAGGCTGCACAAACTGCTCCCTCTGGAAGCTGCACTTGCCCTGCTCCATCCCCTCAGTGCAGCCCACTTGTTTCCAGCCAAGATCCCAGGATCCTGAATGGGTGATTGTTACAAAATAATCTGTCCCCTGTCCAAATCCACAGTTTCAGTGCTACAGTGAAGCAGAACTAATGACAACTAATTGTTGTCACATTGGAGAATTTATAGGAAACTGGTGACAAGGCCCTTTGCATTTTTCATGTCCTCAGCATTAAAGATCTGAACTCATTCTCTGGCATGAAGAATTTGGATGGGTTCCTCACAAGAGGGGACAAATGCTGTTATTTCACATTTTCCCTGGTTTGTCCCAGCCTCTGCTCAGGGAATTACTCCTGCTTTACTACTGATGTGACACCATTAGCAAGCAAGCACAGAGAGAGTAAGTGATGAGTAGTAGGAGCAGCTGTAGCTGCAGAATAAATCATCTCTGCTAAATGTGTCTGTCCTGCTGTCTGTCCCTTCCCTCCCAGCTGCCATTTCCTGGCAGGACCTGTCTGTAATCTCTTTTTCTATGAAGGCTGTACCCTGTGACTGAGCAATGAGTGTCCATCCTGCCAGCCCAGCCTCAGTTCTTGGATGTGCTGTGGAGATAATTCTGGGAAAGCAGAGAATCAAACACATTACAGCTCTCAGTGCATCCATCTGGGATGTGCCAGGGGAACACCATTAACTGCCCGGATTTCACTGCTGCTCCTGCTGCTGGGCCCTCTCAGCAAACCCTGCTGGGCTCCTGGCACTGCCAGGGACAGAACTCTTGGGCAGAGCTCAATTTCACTTCTACACTCATAAAACCACTCAGCCTTTGACTTCCAGGGGTCACTCACCCCTGATTTTCTCCTCTCCATGGGATTTCTCCCAACACACCCCTAGGAAAGGTTCTTCGTCACAAAAATTCCTAAATCCCTCAATGCCACTGCATTTCCCTCATATTTGAAAGAAGCAAAATTTATATTCAGAACTGCAAAGATGGCAGGAGAAAATCTTTATCCAAATCTTAAGAAAATATCTTTTCTCTTTGTGGGTTCCCCAGCCCCTCCAGGCAAGTCTCCCTTGGACCAAGGTTCAGCTTTCTTGTTCCATTGACAGCAACCATCCCAACAGAAATCTGTGATTTTGATGGAAAGATGGGAATTATTTATGAAATCTTTGGCAAGAATGGAACAACTCATTTAATTCACACAACAGCTATTACCTCTTCCATTAATGGAGTTTGCTAGATATGGAAACTTCCCTTGTATCCACAAAAACACAGGACCCATGGCCTGGACACACACTAAAACAACAAGAATTATGGAGCTGACTGAATACAAATAAATAAAATATAGAACACACACATGCCTCAGAAGAGCCAGGAACCAAGTGCGGGTTTCTCATAAAAAATTATTTCACTTTGGGCTGGAAAAGTGCAAATGGGAGCAAGCTCTGATGCCAGGAATCACAGAAGGAACCATTAATGCCCCCAGCCAGTCACTCCTCCCTCCCAGGGGAATAATAGTTCCTGCACTGGAAGGCAGCCTGGGTATATTTTATTAAATCCCTTAAAAATGGATTCTCAAATGGTTTATTAACAAATGGTCTTCCTCCAAGAGAGCAGAAAATCTCGTTAGAAAGAATCTGTCATCTCCCCATGCGCTGAGGGATGTTTACTGGGCTGGCTTTTCCCTTTTATTCCTGTCTGCAATTTAAAGACACCTGTCAGCCATGATCCAGAAAAACCTGGGGCTCAGGGTGTAGCTCTCCCACCAGCATTCCCTTCTGAGCAGTTTCTGGAATATTCTGGGAGTTTGGGGATGGAGGGAGCTGTTTCTCCTTCCCTCCAAGGCCAAACCCTCCCGTGTGTGCCCACAAAGGAGCAGCTTTGCCCTTTTCCATTTGCTGCTCTGTTTTATACAGTGCCAAAAATCACATTAGGAGGCTCCCAGGTCATGAAGCAAACCCAGAGCTTTGTTTAATGGATTTCACCCTAAGGCAAGTGGGTTGGAATTTCCACCACTGGATCAAACTTGGAGTTAACTCCAGGTTGCTGGGGCTGTGCTTTCCTGCAGGATCCATCACCAGGAGTAGAAAATAGCTGAGAAAAGAGGAGGTCTAACAGAAAAATTCTGGCTTATTTAACTCTTTTCTTGCTATTTTCTTTACATAAAATATTCTTTAAATATTTTGGCATTGATTCATGTCATGAATGGATCACACCTTGTCAGCAGAGGAAAAAAGGTATCACAGAAATAATCAAAAGTGCAACAAAACACCCAAAAATATCCAAGGATGCTCCAGAGCAGCGCAGGCCTAAAAGGAAAATGACCTAAGAAGGATCTGACAGCAGAATAAACCAGCTCTGGCTTTACAGGGTAGTTTAACAACTCTATTTAAAAATAATTATCATTGCAATTGCAGTGTGCCCTTATGCACCTGTAAAACTACAAGCTCATTTCCCCACATTTATACAATAACTGGAGAAAAGCTATTTCAAGGTGAGCAGAACTTACACAAACATCTTGTAACCCTTCTTAAAAATCTGCCATTGTACCCTAAAATAACCCCACTCCTTCAAAAATCTGCCATTGTACCCTAAAATAACCCCACTCCTTCAAAAATCTGCCATTGTACCCTAAAATAACCCCACTCCTTCAAAAATCTGCCATTGTACCCTAAAATAACCCCACTCCTTCAAACTTTGCTTTTTTTGAGCTTGGCTCTATGTAATGATATGAAATTGCACTTTTCATTGTTATTCAGATATTCAGGTAGTTGGAGGGGAAAGGGAAGAGCCATTAGGTTTTTCTTAATAAAAATCCCAGTATTGGCAGCAGTGTCAGTGCAAAAAGTCTGAGCTCCCCGAGGGAGCAGCATTGATCTAAAAGCCTTTTCCCTGTGCTTGCTCCCAGGGTTTTCTCTGTGAATAAACACTGCCTCAAATCCAAGTGTGTCTCCAGTGGGCTGGAAATGTGTTTGAAGGGTCAGACACAAGTTCTACAGGCAGGCAGGCAGCACAAAACTCCCGAGATGCCAACAGGAGCTGGGCACCAGGAGCTGAGCTGGGGCTGGGCACCAGGAGAATTTCTGGGAGAACAAGGGGGCTCTGGGCTGATGGGAATGAAAGGGGGCACTGGGACACAAAGGGGGGGACTGGCACTGGGATGGAGCCCCTGGCACCCCAAAGGGAGCCCCTGGCACCAAACAGGGCTCTCATCCCACCCACCAACACTGAGAGTGCCCCAGTGCTGCTCTACCCATTGCTCTGCAGTGTTTGTATCTGGCCAAAACAATAACAGGTGGCACAACCAAAGAGGGTTTTTGTTTGTTTGGTTTAACTCTGAGAACTCTTAAATTCAGAAACATTGTCAAGAAGAAATGCACTTCCCTTGCTTTGCTACAAAATGTTTCCCACCATTTGGGCTGCCTGCAAAAAAATCCAAGCCCAGGTTGTTTTGTATCATGGAACAACCCAGACTCCACCTGCATCAGCTGCACCCTCTGTTCCTTTCAGTGAAAATAAATACAAAAGTTAAAAAAACCCCCATCCATTCTGACAGGTCCTTCTGTAGGTGGAGGCCATCATATTTTCCACTGGGGCAATCTCCGCTGCTCCCAAGCAGAAACTCTTCACTTTGGGGAAAAAAAAGATAATTTACAAAGAATTTGCCAATGTGGAGTCACAGGATCACTAATTCATTCAATTTTCACCTGTAGTTAAAAACAAAAAAACCAACCCAAAACAAAACCAACAACAGCAACAACAACAAAAAAAGGGCCCTTGAGGTTAAAAGTGAACAGAAAGGAAACAACACAAAAGTGAAGGAAGAAAGGAAACAGGAATGAAATGGGAATAAAAGATTGAAGGGACAAGAACAAGGTGCCTGGAAGGATTGGTGTGAAAGGAAAATTGAGTTTCCTTCCAAAAATAGGAGGGAAAATATTTGGGCTAACTATCCAATAAAGCCTAATGTCCATTATCCCAATGTCTGAAATCACTTTTTAATAGTTCTGGGGTGCTGTTCCAAGCAGCACCATGA